AATCAAGCCCAGCCCATTTCTGATTTCCCACCGGCATTCCAGAAACAGCTGCTTCATAAACTCCTCAGAACTGCCTGACATGTGTTAGAAAAATGGGGGTCCATGTGGGTACCCCTTTGTATTCCACCACAGCACCCACATGGTGCGCTTCTCTGCACTGCCTGAACCACACCTGTGCCCTTGCCTTTCATGGCAAAGCACGGCGTATATCAACATCTCCCCATGTGGGCACACACCAGAGATGGAAATCTTTGTCATGCTTCTTGGAACAGAAAATGTTTCAACATATTGAAAATTTCACATACTTTTTTAATGATAACAGCTTGTAAGGACTAAAAGAAACAGGTCTAAATATGGTTTCATGTTGAGAAGCTTTTCAACAATTCTCAAAAAACACACAAATGAAAAAGCAGATTTAAAAAGTTAAATAATAAGGGAGTTAAAAAAACAATGTTAAATGTTAATGCTAAAGGAAACTGGCACCTTACAAGTCCTCTGGTTAAGCAAAAAGAGCTGGGTATGTGTAACCCTAATATGCTTCCCCACACCACTTCCTCTTATTTCTCTCATAAGAAACTTGTGTGACTTATGAGAACAAGAGTTTTGAGAGAAACAGTAACAGACACAAACAGGACATTAGAAACATGATGTGAAAAACAAAATAAAACGTTTATAACCTGCTTTTTTCAACAACTTCTTTGAAATACTTATTTTGCTTTAGACAATGAAGAAATTCCAAGCTGTCCAGAAGCATCAAGATTTCCCTCTCACACTCACGGACGAAACATGCAGGAGCCGATACCCTAGATTGTGCCTCAAAATGCCATTTGCTGGGTGGTATGATGACAAACATCACAGGGCGCTTGATGTCATGTGGCATCAAATTCTAAACATCTGGTGTGCAGTCGTTCACAGCACTGCAGAAAGGGAGTTGCTCACACGCCAACAGAAGTGAATATTTTTTTCACGCTTGTTATTTTAACCAATGCAAACCCAGATGTTTTATGAAGTGTAATTCATTTAGTCTAAAACGTCTAGACACCCATCATACCTATCATCTGTTGGGACTTTCCTGGACTGACGAACACAAGCCCCTCTGCTGAGAGCACAACGTCCACTTCAGGAAGATAGTGCCACAGAGCCAACGTCCACACCACTGCCACACTTGCAACATTCTGCCTACATCCTCTGCTCCTCTGTCAATAGTGGCCTAAATGAGGACGATTGCTGTGATGAAACAATACGTGAAGGAATAAGGCTGACACAAAGCTCTTGAGCACGCAGGCAAGAGGCGACTCTTTAAAGCAGTCAGGAAAAGCGGGGGACATTGGAGTCCCGATACTTGACTAGAAGCACGATAAATAAACCCCTTTGCTTAAGCTGGGATGGCCTTACCAGATGCCTAACTGATCTGCCAAAGGTGGACACATTGCAAGTGTGTCAGGCAGAGCAATTAGCCATTTTGAGACCTGTAAGACAGACCCATATCAGGAAATGAGGAGCAGGACCCATTCTTTAGGGAGCTGGAGAAAGGCACCGATATGATTGATAGTTGACCGAAAATGTTAACAGGCTGCACATGCAGAACATTCACTCTCCCACATCCATTTTATCACAAGGGAAAGTGTTTAATTATGTGAAGACTGCGAATCAGAAGAGCCTCTGGTTCAGCACTTTAGTCTCTGGTTATAAAGTGCCAGTGAGAGCAGAAATGCTGTAGGCTCCGGCCTCAGGAAGCTCACGACTGCATGTTCTGTGCCATGAGGCCCTTTTTCTAAAGGCCTTACGTGATAAGATGCATCTCAACCATAGACACCGCGATTCAAAGATTCACAACGGCCATCTCTTGCGTTGCTGAAAATGAGATACATTTAGTACACAGTATTGACAAAAAGGAGACGTGCTGACAAGCACAAGTCAAGTGTAGGAGTTAGAGAGCATGAATCCCTCAGTGCTTAACATTTATTCATCTGCTAATATTAGCACAAAAAAAGAGATGACATAACTTGAAGAAGTGTGACTTCTTCTTAATACAAAACTCTTCTTCAGCACTTACTTGTTCGTGTAAATGGGTTCATGATGCACATGGTAGACTTCATTTTGTACTTTGAGATGCATTTAATCTATTTAGTTATTTGCACTGGTACAGCTACATACATAACTTCCGATGCCTTTTAGAAAGGGTCAGTGATAAACAACACCTCTTATAAACAACCAAATTGGCCATTTAGTTATAGCACATATTTACATCAATTATAAATCCGAGGTGCAATATTGAGTTTGCTCCATTTTCCTTTATCAAACTGAACAACACAACACAAGCACCAGCAGGTCTGTGTTTTTTTCCCTTGGAGCGTGACTGCTCCCCTATACCGGTTTTCTAACAGTCCACATGAAATGGCTCCAGCTGTCCCTGCACCCAGACCTTCAATATCACAACAAGAAATCTCAATATTAAACACCGGGAACAACATGTTTCTCTTGGAAAGGGGCTGCATGAGGAAAATATTTTACATTTAAATCTGCACAGCAAATGTGTTTAAGCCTTTATTCCAGTAAAGCACTGGAAAGGAGATGATCTCAGAACCTTACATCACGAAGAAAGAAAGGTGGTCCTAATGCTTCACAGTTTGTGGCCTATTTAACCTGACATAGAAGAAAATTCAATTCAATGTGAAGTTTACTTACACAACCTCAAGGTATTACTGTAACTACCTGGCTCCGAGTGGGAGGTAGACTTACAAATTCACAAATAAAATTACCAATGATTCAAATGTGAATTAGACATTAACAAAACTAATAGGAAAATTTCAAATTTGGGAGAGAGAGACCTTACAGAGAATAGCCTCCTAACATTCTTTTCTACTACATAGCTCTTTTTTCCTCTGCAAATAAATCACGAGAGAGCATTTTAATATGAAAGGATTAAAAAAAACATTTTTTGGCAATAAACAGCATTTTTACATGTTTATGTCAGAGCTTTTCAAAATTTTCCTCTGTATGAAGATAACTTTAAATTATTTTTAAAATAATACCCTTTTTATATACTCTACAGTATGTGCATAATAGTTACATCCTATACATTTTGCTGAAATGGCTGACATTGCTAATGACATTCTCTTACGCAGTTTGTCAGTGGACTTGCTACAGGAATGGAAAGAATGGATGGATCTAGTCTGTTCAAACAAGCATAAGCAAACAGAAGCATTAGCGATCACAACATGGCATGACAGGAAGAGTACTTTAAAAATCTAATGGATTCAAAACAGGACTACAATTACAGGAAGGCAGACTATTAAACGAATGAGACTGACTTTCAGAGAAGTAGAGTAGAGCAGCACATGTAGCATAACCCATTGTCAGGCTCACAGTGAATGACATTAGTACAAACAACCAGAAAGCACCGTAGACTGTGAACATTATGGAAGACTCATTGTGGGATAAGGACATAAGACTAACAACAAGGTATTTGATATGCAAAAATGTACTCCCTTAAACAAAAGAAAGCTTAGAAAATAAAACTTATTCCAAGAATGTGAACATAATTAACTCCAATAAAAACAGACAAAATCATAAACAAAACATGAAGGAATAACTGAAGATATGTTTTTATAACGTGAACACTTCAAGCTATCTCCGTGGGATTTCTGATTTTCTGGTGAGCCAAGGTAAACATCGAATGAAAAAACGGCACTGTTATTATTATGATTATTAATCCAAACCATAAGCACTGGCGCAGATTTACCACTTCAATTTCCTGCTATAAGGTGCAAGTTTAATTAAATGTAAGCTTTTATTCTAAGTGATTGGGATGTCAAATTTCCTGCTTTCTTAAAAGAAAGTAGGATATGAAAAAATGAGTCAACAAGCACTGCATGTTGTTAAAATAAAGAAACTGAGCAAACTAGCACAGCAGTGATGGGCTCCGCTGCCCTGTCTGCCTCAGGCATCTTAGAGAAAATAAACATCAGGAGTTTCAGAGCTTCGCACTCGAAGACAATACAACAGCGGACGACAGTTAACCTAAACCACGACCATGCTCACAGGGACTGCCATGACCAGTTAAAGAGTTCAAAGGGGAAAGTTCTTGTATTTCGCTTTAGTTCAGAAAATGTTTAAGGTCAGCGCAGTGGAGCAGAAAGGAAGAGGATTTTAACGATCCATATTGGGCGAGATGACTGAAACAGGCAGAAAATGTCATCTAGAAGAGAAAGAGTGACTAAAGATCATTCATTCCTGTTCTTATAATTTCAATTGGCCATGTTTATTACCTCTGCATTCGGAATCACATGAACTTGCTACTACCTCCCTTATTATAGCACAAGATTGACCAGGATAACACATATGCTGTATCTGCAACATGCACTCCTGCCCAGAGCTGAGTGTCTGACTGTGTCCATGGCAAAGACAACACTGCAAGCTCGCACAGACTTTGGAAAGCTACAGGACTCACTCTCGAGCAGCTCTGCACCCCCGTTTGGAGTGTCACAGTCCCAGTCAGCAAATGACTCAAGTCAAACTCGAACCTCGATCTCCGGATAAAAGAACCCAGCCTTTGCTCCAAAGTGGCACCTTTTCCTGGCTCAGATGCTGCAGAAGCCAAACCCACGGGGACACATTGAAGGAAAAACAAAAGTTGCATCATGTCTTTCTGAACGAAAGAAGGACCAAAAGAAAACAAGTCTTGGTCTCATCACTGCAGTCCTGCACGTGGATGTTAAATCCATGGAAATTAACTTGACCACAGAGTTCAACTGACTTCTATAGAGCGTCTTGAGGAAAAATACTCAGGAACTACATTTAAAAACTATCCACACCAAAGTCTCATTAAAATGATGGCAATGAGGTTACTGAAAAACCCATAGAGCTTTTCAAAACATCACAGTCAGCTAGTTGGTCCCCGGATATGATCTTTTTCGTGACGCGTTTTCAAGCTCAAAAACTCATGCAGGCTCTGCGGCGAGCGCACTCGACGGCCCCGAGAGGGGAGAGGCCCTTACTTTGGCTGCGCCAGGCACCCTGGTGCGATGATGCCCTGGGACTCCGCGGTCCCCTGCAGGGCCGTCAGCTCCAGCATGTCCACCAGCACGTCGTTCCGGTGGCCCGGCAGCTCCGGCAGAGCCGAGAGGATCTTCTCCACCAGACTGTCGCCATGGTGCCCGACGGCTCCTGGAATAAGGCCAAACGCAAAATCAGGAACCACAATCCTGGTCCCCACAACGCCCCGTCGACTGACCCCCCCCCACGATGATCAGAGATCAGGGCACAGATGAAACATGCTCCGAGGAGCACGAGGAAGGCTGTAAGTGAGGAGGCAATTCGACCCAATTCGAGGATCTCAGCCAGCCGTGTCTTGAAGGAAGCCAGGGTACCAGCTGGGACACTTGCTGCATACTCCCACAACCCTTTGTGTAAAGCAGTAACTTTTTTAATCAATTTGTAAAAGCGCTTTCCTTTTTTCACTGAAGGCTACACTAATTGTCTTGAAATTAGAAACATTCCAACAAAACTGAAAGCTGAAAGACATCAGCATTGTCAGAATGAGAAATCCAAGACCTCAATGTCAAGATGATGATGATGATGCCACTTGACCACAGGGGCCAAATCTAAACACCCTTCTCTTCCAGTGCTTACAAAAGCACTGGTAACCAAAACAATCTGAAAAAATGTCATAAAAAAAGAAGCACAGTATTTTATGCTAGTGTGCAACTTGAATAATATTGCAATGGTTCTGGCCCCGGTAAAAACATCACCATATGTGTGCAGTTCCAGGCATTATCATGATTCTTTATTCGATGCCATGGTCTGGTTTGCGTTTCAGAGTCTCCGTGTCAGAAATGTCCCTGTTTCATGAAACTCCTGCTGGCCCCTGATCTAGTAAGTGACTGAATGGACATGAGCTTTCATTACTCTGGAAGCCACTCAACAGTCACAGAAGTAAATGAAGTAAAGAGCCAGACCTCACATTATTTTGTACATGTGGAAGGGAACACATTTCTTTGTTGACAGCGACTGAAACAAAGAGGTCTTCTTTCATCTACAGGAAACTTTAGGGTGCTTTGTTCACACAATACTTCTCTTTGAACATTAGCCTACAGAGGTTAAGTAAGTAATGGCAGACATTTAATAACACGAGACAAGAATAACACCGTTCCTGCACTACGGACTCCCGGCGTGCCTCATAGACTGCAGGGCTCAGAAGGGGGAGCTGACATTACCTTGCTGTTTCTGCAGCACATCATTCAAAGCAGATGCGCTGGACTCTGGCTGCGTCTGGACGAGGGATTTCAGAGCAATCTTTCCCTGCTGCGCGCTTTTCTGCGTGTGCATTTGCTGCGTGTTGGGGGCGTTTCTGCTTGTGCTGTCGGTGCGCCTTACCTGCCAAATCGAGCGTCCTGTCAATGAACACTATCGACGCTTTGTTTGGGGCCGCTTTCCTCCTGTTCTTCGCCTGAGGGTGGTTGGCAAGCTCCCCGGCTATCAGGCGACTCGTGGGGCCCACCGCGAAGCACTCCTCCCGTGTGTTGAGACAGTCAAACATGGAGCTGAGCCCGGATACCAGGGTCCGGATCTGAACCCGCAGCTCCGGGGGCAGGGAGTGCATGTCAGCGTCTGCGAGGCTGGCGAGCTTCTTCTTGTCCGGGCGGGCCCTGTTGATCAGCTCGAGGTCCCGGGACAGCAGGGGGAACAGCCCCCCGCAGGCGGGGGCCACCAGCAGGTGAGGCGACACGGGGGCGAACACCAGCGGGGCGTGCATCACCTCCGCCGTGTAATTCATGTCTCCCATCCACTCGCACAGCCTGTCCTCGAACTGCTCGAAAGCGGGACGCCCCTCCGCCTCCGGGCTGGCGCTGCTGGCTTGGAGGTGTACGGAGTGTGCGACAGCGGTGAACACGACGCAGTACTGGAAGGAGCTGAGGCCGATGATGTCCCTGATGGTGTCCGCTGTCCTGCCCTTCAGCAGCGTGCTCACGACAAAGACGGCTTTGGGCTCGTTCGCGCTGCCAGCTTCAAAGCTAGAGAACTGCTTGACGTTACAGGCTCCGGCTGCGAGCAGCATCTCGGTCCCTCCACACCAGTGCAGGCTCTCGCAACACCTGTCATCCATGAAAACAACCGCTTTCTTTACCTTTGACAGCACACTATCCCACGCCTGTCTCGGAAAGCTTACCAGCCCCGGTGAGGATGCCATTATTTACAAACGCTCTGATTGTTTTCTTCTAAGGAAAAAGGTACAAGAATAGAGATTTAAAGAAAGGTAATGTCTGAGAACTACAATCTTCCCAGTCGCTCGACAATACACATGCATGTGTCTCTCAAAGGTGACGTGGCATTTTCACGTCGCGTAAATATTACGTAAGAGGAAAGCGCATACGCGGTGCCTGTTTTTCAAGAATAGCATGTAGGTAGGTAGAAGAACATGTCTGCTCTTTAAATTGTTTAATTATATCCGCGTCTAATCAATACAGTAAGGGATGTCCAGTTTTCAGAACTTCAGCTTTTTATATTAAACATAAAACACGCCCTCTTTTTTTCTATAAATCGGAACAACTTGAAGGGACTGCCTGTATTTCCCACTGTTGGTAATACAGCACTAAAGTTCAGACTGGGGCTTAAAGTGTATTATTAACCAATATTTGTGAAGAGGACAGAGGCCTCAGATGTGGTTCTTAACACGTAAAAAGTACTTAGCCTGTGTTCAGTTCTGTACATTTAAGACAGTATGAATTTATATTGTCTCATAACCCTCCGTAGCGTAGTCTGGGTGTTAGTAGACAAGACAATATATAAGACAATATAGGGGGAGGAAGCCAGATGTAACTATTTTTGCTTGAAACTGCTAATGCTCGGTTCTGACTGAAAGTCGGACCTGTTGCCCAACGACGTGCTGGACCAATGGAGAAGCACTTCCCGGGTCAGTAGGAGCGGGTTCTGTCTGCTTCCGGGTGAGGGGCGAAAGGGCTATTGTTGTAGAAACGTGTTGGGCTGTTACCCTGCGAGTTCAGCATTTCCCAATGGGTTAAACGGCACCGAGTCTAACTAAATTCTCCAGGAGCCCTGCTGTCTGTGCGAAGGAAGAAACTTCAGCGGTCAAATTCACCCAAAGCTGTGTTAGGAGTGTTTTTATGAAACATCTTGCAGGTTTGGAAACAACATGTCTACGGAAGAGGCAGAGAAGACGGCAGTGACTGATGCCAGTGCGGGAGACGAGGAGGAGGAATGGCTTTACGGAGGTAGGGCTTTCATTAGTGTGTCACAATTCTGGGGAACACGGCAGTGGGGAGGAGGATTTCCTGGGCCTGGGAGACTGGTGCCGATGCCGGTGAGGAGTTCCCGGCAGGTTGCTGGAGAGTTTTGCGTGTGATCGCGGCCTGTGCTTCTTCTGGCCAGAGTAGTTCCCAACGAGTTTTCTGAAAGCAAGGTTTTTTTTTTAAATTTAGAAGTCTTAAGACCTAAGTGATAATTTCAGAAAATAAACTAACGCCGTTTTAAGTTTTTCATTCTGTTAATGCATTTCGCTTACTTAGCTGCAGGAAACAGAGGCATCGCTGGGCGGTGCGTTCCGTGGTCAGTGCAGATCGATGCTTTTCGAGTGTTTCACTCAGCCGTTTTATTTGCTGTCAGAATCTGTTCTTGTTGTTTTTTTTGCGTGTGTGTCCGTGTTGCCGTCGTCTTGCGATGACACTTGCGCGGTTGTGAGGCTCGCAGCCGATGTAACGGGCATGTTCTCGCCTGAATGACGTTGTGTCTCCTGACAGATGAGAACGACAACAAGCCGGAGGAGGAGGAGGAGGCGGCGAAGGCGGCGGCGGCGACCAGGTGAGCGAGTCTGCTCTGGTGTCTGCACGCCCTGCGCATGGGGAGCGCACCTGCCTGTTGTGTTCATCACGATCACACGCACCCGGCGCCTCATCGCGTTTAGATCTTTTCAGAAGGAGGGAAGTGCTAAAAAGAGCTCAGTTGTTTTTGGAAACGAGGCAGTTCTGCCTTTCGCTCTTGTCACAGGGTGACAAGACATAAAATAATCGCGAGGCATTGTTGCGTTAAACAGATCGACTGTCTTATCCAGCGCATACACATTGTGTATCATCTCAGGCAAAGCATGAAGAGGCACGGTAGTCCTCTTTAAAATCCTGCAGTGGAATCAGTAGATATTAGTTTGTGCAAGGGAATGCATGGTGGTGATTTGAAAAGAATTCATTAGAACTAAATAATATATCTGGTTTCCAATGACCATGAATTTTTAACACGAGGCAAATCAGAGTAGTGGACATCAACGCCATTAAATAAGATGCAACACCAGCTTCACTCACTGGAATGAGGAATAAAGCTTCCAGAGCTAGACGTGGGCACTGACGTGTTTCAGAGCAGTCATTCATCTGTGTTGTGCATGTCCTGTTAGTGAGAAGCCATCGAGGGTTGACTCATTGAACCCATATTATTGAAATTCACAGTCCGCTCCTGCCATGCAGTGTTAAAACTCAATGACATTTTAACGATGGAGGGCAGAAAACGCTTCCCGCCTGATTGTGGGGTTCATTTAGCATCTAGGCAGCGGGGCTGAGCTGCTGTGGCAGGAGGCACTGTCTTCACTCTCCCTGCTGGCGATGATCAGTGCGCCCGGCGCTCTGTCCTTGCGTTTGCTAACCCTCGTGTCGGCTTGTTTTCACAGCACGTTCCCTCCCCCCGCAGCAGAAGAGGAAGCCACTGGAAACGGAGTAGCCAAGCAGGTAACACTCCCGTCGCTCGGCTTCCCCTGGCATTGCCAGGGGTAGCGGTGGCCCGAGCACAACATGTTGAGCTGTCAGGCAGCATAAAATGTTCTTTTGCGCGTATTGTCATTAGGCGCTGTTCTTGTTTAACTGTGAGATCATGGATTGTGCTTTAGCAAGACCGTGTGGGTTGTCGCTGTGCTGAGAAAGCAGGATCTGTGTACAGCTGACTCCTACAATCATACACGTTGTTAATGCTGAGCAGTAGCAGACCGAAGCAAATACAAAGTGCTGGCAAGAAAGCATAGCAAATTGATGTACTGATATGAACAGTGAAATTAAATTCTGCATTAATATCGTCATGCCGGTGACCCGTGTCTTTCAGTAAACAGACTGAGCATGCTAGGGTTTGCCTTTCACTTGCTCTTTCCACCTGTGGCTGTACTCGATGGGCGGGCGCCACATGGTTGTTCTGGGGTTGTTTTCTGTACTAGAGGGCTGTCGCTCAGCCCAGAAAGTGGCCTTGTGTCACGTAGCTCCGCCCACTGCTCCTGGGCGCTTCTCAAGAGCTCATTCACACTGTGGTCCCAGGACACGGCCGAAGACGATGACAGCGACAGTGACAGCGATGACGACGACGACGATGTTCGTGTCACGATTGGAGATATTAAGACCGGGGCTCCTCAGTACGCGTGAGTATTGTTAAGGTTGCACTTAGTAAAGCCACTATAAAGCTTCAAATTAAATAATGAATCAAAAAGAAAATATATTTCATTGAGATAATAATAAGTTGCTAAGTTTTTATATATTTCAAGCCCTTGTGCTGAAGCCACTCTGCTGTTTTCACTGTGCAGAGCCTATGGAGGGACTCCAGTAAATCTCAACATTAAGACAACCGGCAGACCATATGTTTCAGGTAAAGCAGCATGTAACAGTTACAGTAGCTCCTTAGTCCTCAGAAGGAAGTGAGGTATTAAGTGAGGTATTAATTATGTGTTGTAGGGTATGTTGTCCACCTTCTGCCAGAAATGCAATTTATATTATGTAGAATATAAATTGATCAAACAATGACCAGTCTCACAAAGCCTGAAAATTGTACAGATTCCTGAGTTAAAGTAGGCAGTGTGGGTGATGAATACTGGGTTTAAGCAGTGAAAGCAGTGAGCAACTGCTGCGGTCTTGTAGTCTGTGTGGTTTACATTCGTGAAAATGAAACGTCATTCAATGTCATGTATGCAAATACAAAGGGAATAGGTGCTTACCTGACACGTCTGTAGTGTCGCTACAGGATACACAAATAGCTTCGTAATTGAATGCTTTGCTGTCCTCTTCTATACAACCAAGTTGAGAACAATCTGCACAGAGTAAGACACACTTGAGTTGAAATAAGCCAGTGCTGTTTCTCACTGGCGGTGCTAAGGGATCTTTGGGAATGGCAGTACTGTTCTGACCTGTTCTCTTCTGACCTCCTGTACACTTCTCTCCAGTAGGAACCAAACCAAAAGGAGTGGACCTCGACGCCCCTGGAAGTGTCAATGGTGTTCCACTGCTGGAGCTGGATCTCGACTCTTTTGAAGAAAAACCATGGAGGAAGCCAGGTAAAAACTCACACACTCGTGCACAAATGCACACGCCACTGCACCCACACACGTTCATGTGTTCAGGCACACATGCACACAGACACTCGTACGCCAATCCACCCACAAGCGAGCACACAGACACTCGCAAGCCCAGCCACCCTCAGGCATGCATGCTCACAGAACAAAAGTGTAGATCTGCACATCCAAGTGCCAGCAGTTGTGAAACCGCAGGAGCGCTCATCTGTTGTACCCTGACCCTTTTGCCCTCTGCATTGCTCTGTTTCCCTCTGCTGCATTCATGAGAATAAAGGCTGTCCGTGCTTATACGTGCGTTTCTGTTCAGGAGCGGATCTCTCGGATTACTTCAACTATGGGTTCAATGAAGATACCTGGAAGGCCTACTGTGAGAAGCAGAAGAGGCTGAGGATGGGTCTGGAAGTTGTAACAGTTACTTCAGCTACCAGCAAGATTATGGTAACCGATTTTAACGATGCTCATTTCTCTTGGCCACTCGTGCATGTTAGGGTTGTTTGTGTACATTGGGGATGTGGGTGTCCTCTGTGAGTAATTGTTTTGCTTGACTCAGGATACTTAAATACTCTGTTCAGTAGGTGAAATTTTCTATTGCTGATGGTTGTCCTGTGTATGTTACAGCCTGCAAGGCACCAGAATGTACCCAAATTACCCTTTTAGTTTGGATTGTTCTTAAGTCTCACATTCTTGCTTATTAAAAGCACAACCTGATTAGCATCACGCTGAATGGACAACAAGAGGCTGTATTCCCTAGTAAGGAAATATTTTCTTCTTTGATCTGCTTCCAGACTGTTCAGTAATTTACAGTAAGCCACAATTTTATGGCATCAGATGGAAAATCCTTCCTCAAATGTTGGCAGAATCTCCGCTTTTTGTAACATGTTAGTACACAAGGAGCCTGACCTCCCAGCAGGTGAGGGGAATCACTGACAGTTCTCATTTGTCCCAGCTTTTAAAAGCAGACTTTTGTAACTTATTGAAAGGACATGTCGGAGTTGTTGAATTATGATGTT